GGGACACGATGCCACGTGTCGCTGCACGTCGGTCAGCATCTCAGGCTAGTAATAATATCGCTACAGCTGCTGCCATGTTTTTTCTACCCCAAAATGTCCTGAGGTGACTCCGTCATGTGCCTCCTGTAGCAGTAATTCCCGTAGTAGGGTATAGCCCGGTACCCAGATCCTATCAGTGCCGGTTTTTACGTAATACACCCCTTTTGCTGCTGCGAACTGCTGCGAGTTTCCTCCGGTGAAGAACGGGTCTGTTTGGTAGCCGTGGGTAAATAGTCCTGTGAGCAGCGGGCTGGTTTAGGCGAGTAGTTTGGCGTGGATTTGGGCAGTGGGGCGGGTCAGTGCGTCGGCGATGTTCGATGCCCCTTTTTTGTAGGTAACCGTGTACTGAAAATCCGACTCGAGGAAGTCGAGCCAACGAACTTGTCGTGGGTTGAGATGGGGCTGTGCACGGAGGTACTGTGGTGATTTGTGGTCTGTCCGTACTGTCACGTCTGCGCCGGTCAAGTAACAGCGCCAGACTTTGAACGCGTGCACGATCGCGAGCATTTCGCGGTCGTGTATCAGGTATTTTTTCTCGGGCGGATGCAATTTTCGTGACTCGTATGCGATGGGTTGTAGGCCGTTGCCGAAATCCTGTAGCAGTACGGCTCCGATGGCGATGTCACTTGCGTCTGTAACTACTTTAAATGGGTGGTGTGGGTCGGCGATGCGCAGTACGGGCGGTGAACAGAGAATAGTTTTCAGGGCAGAGAAGGCAGCATGCTCTTTCTCCCCCCACGTAAAAGCGACCCCCTTCCGCAGCAAATAAGTCAGTGAACAGTTAATCGTGCCATGTCGGGGACAAACCGACGCACATAATTAACGAACCCTAAAAACCTCTGCAGCTCCATGATATTTGTCGGGGGTTGCCACGCTTTCACCGTGTCCAGCTTCTTTGGGTCGATCTCAACTCCAGCCTCCGAAATAACGTGCCCCAGAAACTCTAACCTATCCTGAAAGAACTCGCACTTGGAACCCTTGGTCAGTAGTCTGTGCTCGTTTAAAACCTTAAACACCGCTTTCAGGTCTGCTAAGTGCTGCTGCTTGTCGCGACAGTAGACTAGGATGTCGTCGAGGTAAACGATCACGCATTTATCTGAAAGTGGCCTAAACGCCTCGTTCATGGTCATCTAAAAAGTCGCTGGTGCGTTGGTCAGCCCGAATGGCACCAATGTGTACTCGAAGGATCCGTATCTAGTTCTAAAGCAGTCTTGGCGCAGTCCGATGGTTCGACCCTAATCTGGTGGTAACCTCCCCGTAAGTCGATCTTCGAAAAAACCCGTGTTGTTCGCAGTTGATCTATCATTTCATTGGCGTGAGGGATGGGATATCGCGACTTGACTGTTACTCTGTTCAGTGCTCGGTAGTCGATACACATGCGAAACCCTCCGTCTTTTTTTGGTGTGAATAGTATCGGTGCGGCGAACGGTGATGAGCTCGGTCGGATGAATATTCTCTCTAACAGGTAATCTAAGTGCTTCCTCAGTTCGTCAAGCTCGGGCTCTGTCAGTCTGAACTGTCGCTGTACGGTTGGCTGTGCCCCCGGTTCTAGTTCTATGCGGTGGTCGTGTGCCCGCTGAGGTGGCAGTCCCTCCGGTAGGTCGTCTGGAAAAATCCTCGGATACTGTTCAGTAGTTCCTGTAGTTTGGGCGGTACGGCTGCCAGCAGTTTCTGAAAATCACTCGGCTGTCCGGCTTCTCCTATCAATGCAATATCCACCGCGTACACGTCAGCTCCAACGGCGACAACCCGTTTCATCGTGATGGCGTTGACGTGGACCGTTGAAGACTCGGGTGACCGCCAGCGAGGTAGTTCGAACCATTTACCACTACTTCGCACAGTGCAGCTACCCGTCGTCCAGTCAATTCGCGGGTTGTATCGTCGCAGCGAATCACGTCCAAGTAAAATGTCGTGCCCATCCAGTGTCGTCGCGAGCATTTCCTGTGCAAACCCGAAGTTTCCCCCGCAGCGAACTTTTACTCTCTCCACGTTTTCTCGTATGGCCAGTGGCATGCCGTCCACTAAGCGTGCGTCGATCTCCAGTAAGCAGCGGCTAAGCGTCAGTTGCAGCTTTCGTGCGGTTGCGGTATTAACTAAACTGTGACTTGCACCTCCGTCTATAAAAATCTTCACTGCTGTCCCCTGTATTTTCCCGTAAATCAGTATTGGGCAATCCGTCGATGTACCCTCCTTATTCAGCCGAGCCCGATCGATTGCGCGAATCGGTATTGTGACTCGGTGAGGGTCAGTGGGGTCGAACGAGCAGTGAGTCTCGTCAGTAGTGGGCCCGATCTCTACTGACTGTTGGCGTTTCCCGGCCTCCCAGACTCCCTCCCCTGCTCTGCTCTGCTCCACTGCGTCTTAGCTCCTCTGGGCACTCGCTCTTACGATGGCCCGGCCTATTGCAAGCGAAGCAGCGCCCCTTGAATAGCACAGCAGCTGCATTCGCCGCAACGGCGTGTACGGTGGCGTGCTCGGTCGGTCCCCGAGGGCGATGTCCGTAGTAGGACCCCGGTCTTGGACGGCGCAAAATGTCGATTTTCTCGGCGAGCGCAAGGATCTCGTTGAAGTTCGATAGCCCGCGTAGCATGATTTCGTGCGAGATGTCCGGCTTCAGCCCTCCGACGTAACGGTGCACCCGCTCCACCTCGTGCATGTAACCGACTTGCTCGCAGAGTGCGAGAAAATTGCTCGTATAATCTTGGACTGACCCAAGTTGTCGCCAAGTACGCAGTTTCTGACGCGCCGAAATAGAAGCCGCGATCGGCTCGAAGCACGCCCGAAGCCCTGCGCACCACGCATCCCACGTGTTGTACTGGGCGGTTTCGCAGATTGAACTCCAAGTGACGGCTAGCCCCGTGGGCCCTTCCTCTTGCGACGGTGGCTCGTAAGCGCGTGGCGACATCACGATGACTCGCCACCAGTCCATGGCGGGGCCCTGTAGCAGCGAAACAACGTATCGTATCTTCGCTGCGTCCGACTCGACGTAATTCGCGTCGAAGAAGACGTTCATCGTGAAGACCCACGATTGAACAGTCGGACCTCCGCCTTGGCTAGGATCGAAGCAGGGCGGGCGCTGCGGCTTGAGCGGCATCGGTGCGACGATGTTGTCGTTACCACTTGTTGATGCAAATTCGACGTGACGACGGGCTTCACGAGGCCCGCTCGTGTTTGGTGCAGCCCTATTCCTCTCCATGCCAGGCATTGATTAAGCGGCGCCATCACTGGCTACGCCTGAGCGCTGTCCCACGCTGTCGTGATGTGACGGTGTGTCGGATGAAATGACAATCGGCTCATCCGATTGCGCAGGTGCATTTGCAGATGTCAGTGTTGGTGCTGGTGCATTCACCGTTGATTGTTGGCGGGCGGAGTCACGTTCCGCCGTGAGTGTCGCGATTTCGAGCGCCGAATCTTCGAGTTGGCGTACGAGTCGGTCAAGCTGCTCCTGCGTCAACGTCGCGAGATTGGGTTCGGCCATGGCGAGGGTGTCGGGCAAGCTCCGCGAGGGCCGCATTCGTGGTCGTGCGTGCTTTCGATAGAGCACTTCGAGCGGCGGTGCCTGGACGCTGAGAGACGTCTTACCCCCCCAAAAATTGAGATAGTGGGGAAGCGAAGGTGTGGGTGCGGTCCGAGAAGAGATCGTAGGCTATAAATACCAAGTGTTACAAGTGCAATTGAGTGAGCGAGCGAGAATTGCACTATCGAAACAAAACAGTACCGTATGGCCCCGGATATAGGCGCCGTCCGATTAAAGGCGCCGGCGCTTCTATCTGGAGCATGGCGCTTATGGCCGGAATTCGATTATAAGCGCCCCCCCTAGAAAACCTTTACTTATTATAAGCGCACGTACAATTTTCATTAAAAATACTGTTTAAATCGGTAACGAGTTTCATTTTTGCAGCGAGTCCAATTTCAATTTCGATTCGTTTGACTCGCGAAGACCTGACTGGCTGCGCATCCAGTCAGGATGTGCTGGCATGCCTGCAAGGTGACGTGACTTTGCCCGTGTGGAGGAAGCGGAATCGTTTCCGTGCGATTCTGCTTTGTGATGCAAAATTGTTTCGACTCGGTTGAAATGGCAACAATGAAATATACAATTTGGTACTCTAAGAGTATAATATTGTATTTGCCATTATATAAGCGCCGGCGCTTATGGCCGTTACTCAATTACAAGCGCCCCCCCCCCAAAAAACTGATTTTTTTATAAGCGCATATGCGCTACTATCCGGGGCCATACGGTACAATGAGCGAAAGCATGAGCGAAGAATGTATGGCGAAGCTAGCGTGGTAATGGTAATGCGAGAATTTGGGGTGCGCTACGGGCCTAGCGCCGAGGTTGGGAAATGTTGAGGCGGAGGTCCGGAGCACGGGTTACCAACCGAACCATGAGGTTGGGTCGCGTCGTGAACAGTGGCGGGAGCAGTGGTCGAGGCGAGTGTCGCGAGCAGGTAACGTTTCACTGTTGGGTGCTGGTGGCGGGAATGGTCATGTACGCGGTAAGGAGGGGCGCGAAGTAAGGAAAAGGAATTTTCCTTAGAGCGTATTCCTACACCTCGTATCAAGCGAACCTCATATCAGGCTCACACTGAAAAATGGCTAAACCCAAAACCTCTCGTTAGTTTTACCAGGCAAAAAGTACAATCTTGATTCGTGGTGGCCTGATATGAGGCCGTAGGATCACACACCCGAACAAGGGGAAAAAAAGTTGTTGATGCAATTCGTTTGAAACAGTGTTTTTCAGACTGGTTCCATCCTCGCTTCGCAACACCTTTTCAAGTTGGGACGGGGGTCACTATTTTAGCTGCTGGCTTTAAGAGGCTCATGATGAGCCACACCGCACCGCAGGGCAATCTTCCCCAAAACTCGTTAGACAGCATGTTACCAACCACGGTAGTGTCGCGTCGTTGCATGTCTTGTGCTAACCAGCACTACAATGCTACACTACCCGCTCCTTGCTCTAATCACAACCCACCACCACCTCCCACCTTCCCCCCTTCCCCGACCACTCTTTTGCTGAACCAATACCGATCCTTATTAACACTCAGAAACCCAGCCCGTTCCTTCCCCCCAGTAACCCTCAGATTATCGATCAACACAGACCAAGTCGATCCCAGCGTCCCCACAAACAAATCCGCCTCAGCTGCAAGAACCAGATTCACAAATGCGTTGTCTGATGTTGGTCCCACGCCCACGTCAGATTCATATGACTTCATGGATATATTAGCCGCGCCTTGCCGGGGAAAGCGGGTGTATTTGACGTCCCAACGTGGGGAGAGCAGGCGAGTTGCTTCCTGCACCACATCCTGTTGGAGAGAGAGAGAGAGAGGGAGAGAGAGAAAGGCAGGGGGAGAGGGGGAGGAGGAAGGGGTTAAGTAACAGGATGTGGCTTATGAAATGAGAGGAGGGAGACAGGGATGGTGAAGCGGGTAAGGAAAGAGAGAGAAAGAGAGAGAGAGAGAGAGAAAGGCAGGGGGAGAGAGAGAAAGGCAGGGGGAGAGGGGGAAGGAGGAAGGGGTTAAGTAACAGGATAAGAGAGAAAGAGAAAGGCAGGGGGAGAGGGGGAGGAGGAAGGGGTTAAGCGGGTAAGCGGGTAAGAGAGAGAGAGAGAGAGAGAAAGGAAGGGGGAGAGGGGGAGGAGGAAGGGGTTAAGTAACAGGGTGTGGCTTATGAAATGAGAGGAGGGAGACAGGGATGGTGAAGCGGGTAAGGAAAGAGGTTTCCTGGAGGTGCTTGGAGGAGGGAAGAAGTAGTGGAACGTAATCGAGAGGCGGCAACTTTTGAGTCGACTCAAAAGTCACCTGGAGGAGGGAAATGTGTGGAACGTGATGAAGTGATGTGAAGAGCGAGAGGAGTGCATGCACCGTGCCACCTGAACCATGACCTTTTGGGCAGAGATGACGCCAGGGAGGGAAAGAAGGAGGTTTTATGACGGGCGAAGAAGGCATGGTTTGAGGTCCCACCCATCCACCTGCCCACCCACCCACCTGCTCACCCACCCACCTGCCCACCCACCCACCTGCCCACCTACACAGCCACCCAACCACTCCCAACCACTCCACCTACCTCCATTTCCGTGCTCAGCCACATGGTGGTAACCTCCGGGAAGTTTCTCCGTGCCTTCTCAGCAAGTTCCAGATAGGCGGACAGAGGCAGCAGGCGCATTTCGGAAGACTTGTCGCCTTGCCTCACGTGCACTGCCACGTATCTCCTCCCCACGGCTGCCTCTCTCACCGCTGCCCACACAGGCTCTAGCCCTTGGTATCGCTTCCGATGCTTGGTCAGTTTCTTGGGGGTCAGATGCACCTGTGGAAGGAGAGATAGGGAGTCGCAAGGTGGGGGAATGAGGCATGATAGGGAGACGGGGGCGTTAAGGCAGGGTGGGTAGGCAAGCAGGCAAGGAGGCAAGCAGGCAAGCAGGCAAGGAGGCAAGGAGGCAAGGAGGCAAGCAGGCAGGCAGGCAAGCAGGCATACAGGCACAGACCACAGTCCCATTCTCGGATACTGTTGTCTTTGCACTGAGGCTTCACACAAGCTCTTCCTCTCATTCACTCACTAATTCACTGACTCACTCAATCACACCCACCACACTCACTCCACAACCTCTCACACCCACTCTTTGCCGTCCCCGCTCATTCACACGCTCAAACCCTCACAGAAGGAAGCTCACCTCTGGCCACCCATCCGCAAGAGCAGAAACAGCCTGTGCTGCCGCCTCCCTGCCAAACACCCTTCCCTCATATCATATCCACTCCCTCACACCCACTCTTCGCCTTCCACGTCCATTTACCCGCACTGAACCCCCTGAACCCCCCACAGAAGGAAGCTCACCTCTTGCCACCCATCCGCAAGAGCAGAAACAGCCTGTGCTGCCGCCTCCCTGACAAACACCCTTCCCTCATATCCACTCACACCCACTCTTCGTCCTCCCCACTCAGTCACCCGCACTGAACCCCCCACAGAAGCTCACCTCTGGCCACCCATCCGCTAGAGCAGAAACAGCCTGTGCTGCCGCCTCCCTGCCAAACGCCTCGTGGCGTGCCTTGTTGGCAAGATGGCACAGGCGCGGGCTGCGGTAGCGCATGAGGTAGCGAGTGGCCTGGGCGAACCACCAGCGCCTGCCGTCCACGTTGGTGCGCCCTATCAGGTGCCCATTCACCTCCTCTGTCCGCTGCATGTGCTGCCACGGCCGCCCCCACAGCCTTGTGGGGGTGATTGGGGAGGGCGAGGGAGAGGGGGATGGAGGGGGAGAGCGAGGCGAGAGAAGGGAAGGGCATGCGGAGGAGAGCACGGGATGAGGGGGACGTGTGCACGGATGGGAGGGATGAAAGGAGAGATAGCAGCAACGTTCAAGAGACGAGGGATGAGGGAACGGAAGGTAAAGGACATTTAAAGGGTACTACTATTGCATTGACTCACGCAACACACACACACGCACACGCACGCACACACTCACATGCACACGTGCACACACGCATGCACGCACACTCTACCCCCACCCCATCCCACCCCATCCCCCTCCACTACGCACACAAACACACACACACACACATTCACACAAGAGTTATCACCTGGGAGGGTCATAGAGAAAGAACCGAGTCGGCTTGGGAAATCGCCCTCCCGAAAACGCCACAAGCCCTTTCCTCACCGCCCTCTTGTCCCCCGCCAATGCCTCCGCTCTCCTCCTACACTCCTCCGACGTCTCCGGAGCGAAATAACACGACCATCGCGCCCTATCGCCCCCTGTGCACCCCTCGTGATCCGCCCTCTCATAATAGGTGATCACCATGATTCGGTTATCCTTAACCGCTTCTGCTAGCGCTCCTGTGAGCCAGCTGATCTGTGCGCCTATACCCAGGTACTGCCGGTATATCTGCCGCCCGTCAACCAATAGGAACCGTCGAGGCTTTCTCTCGGCTGGCGGTCCTTCCCTGCCTAGTGATTTCTCCTTCAATCCTTCACTCCCCTTACTCGGTGCACCAGACGTATCCTGTCCTCCCAACCTCCTCCTTCCAGCTGCAGCGCTGGCTTTTCCTGAGTCCAACTCGCCCTCTTTCCCCTCCCCACTCCCTTCCACCTCCTCCTCTTCCCCCCCTCCTTGCCCATCCCGTTTCTCCCCCTCGTCCTTCGCCCCTCCATCCCCTTCCTCCCCCCATGCCTCCTCGCCTTCGTCAAAGTAAGAGCAGTCCCGTGGGTGCTGGTGCAGCCACAAGTCATGCTGCACCCTGCGTGTGAGAGGGAGGTTATCCTCGTCAGCACCTGCCACCTGCAACGGACGGGGAATAGAGGGAGCAGCACAGGTGGAAGCGTTGAAGCAGGGGAAGGGGATAGTGAGCCAGGTCCCTTGATTGCTGGTGCAGCCACAAGTCATGCTGCACCCTGAGTGTGAGAGGGAGGTTATCCTCGTCAGCACCTGCCACCTGTGATTGGAATAGGAACAGAGGAACCCGGGGGGGCAGAGGAGAATGCATGGGGGTAGAAAAAGGCGTAGCTTGGGTGCTGGTGCACCCTGCGTGTGAGAGGAAGGTTATCCTCATCCGCACCTGCCAACTGTGACGAAACAGGAACAGGGTGACCCTCCAGAATTAAGGTCGCAGCAAAACATTGCATATCCGAGGCATGGAAGGGGGATGGGCGCAAGGTTGGGCAGATGGTTGGGCAGAAGGTTGGGCAGAAGGTTGGGCACAAGGTTGGGCACAAGGCTGGGCACAAGGCTGGGCACAAGGCTGGGCACAAGGCTGGGCACAACAAGGCGGGGCACAAGGCTGGGCACAAGGCTGGGCACAAGGCTGGGCACAACAAGGCTGGGCACAAGGCTGGGCACAACAAGGCTGGGCAGAGAGATGGAATACGTTATCTTCATGTGCAATTTGGAGATTTTAGGATCTAAAATTCCTCGCAGCACCCAAGGATAAGGTAGGAGGAGTTTCAGGAACTTCAGAGTGCCCCACATATGCCCCACATATGCCCCACTTACCCAAGGAGGGAACGGCCCAACCACATTCGGCCGCACACCAATTTGTCGCTCCCTCCCCAACCTCCCTGCCCCACGCCCCGCCCCTTCCTTACTCCCAGTCCCATCCTCTCCTCCTCCACCTGTCCCTGTCTCTTCCTTGGCTCCCTCTCTCGCCCTCTCTGCTGCCCCTGTCTTCTCCCCTGCCCCATCTGCCCCTGCCCCATCTGGCCCCAACGCGTCCTCCTCTTCCTCTGTTTCCACCACCTCCTCCAGCGATTGCTGCATCACAGCGTGCTGCAGTCTGGCTCCCTGCTGAAACCACACAGGCAGGGAGCCGTTGGGGGAGCGAGAGTCCAACAGGCTGCAGGGGCGGGTGGGTGGGGCGGTGGGGTATTGAGACACATCAAAGAGCGATTGCTGCATCACAGCGTGCTGCAGTCGAGCCCCTTGCTGAAACCACACAGGCAGGGAGCCGTTGGGGGAGCGAGAGTCCAACAAGCTGCAGGGGTGGGTGGGTGGGCGCAGAGACGGCAGATTGCAAGTTGAAGCTGATTGGTTGTCCACTCACCATCTCACGTAAGCACACCGGTGGTAGAGGTGAATCAAAGAACGAGACTCAAACAAGCAGCGTGGGAGGTTGGAAAGGAGAGGCGAGGCCAAAGGGGGGAAAGGGAGGAGGGAAGAAGGGCAAGGGACGGGCCACGGTTGGGGTTGGGAGGAGGGAGAATGGGGGAAAAGAGGGAGAGAGAGGGAATACAGCAGCATGTTCTTCAATGGAAGGGGGCAGGGAAGGGATGGGAGAGGCAGGCTTGATAACCACAAACATGCGAACAAACACGCGAACAAGCACGCGAACAAGCACCGAGCCATACCGGTTCCTTGCATTGGCAGCACTGCAGTCTTCAATATGAGACGGATATGGCAGTTGTGCAGCACTCAGCACCTCAGCTATCGACCACCGCGGCCTCTCCGCCCCCATCCCATCTCCACTCCTCCCTCCTGCCCCGTTCCCCGAATCCCCGTCTTCTTGTCTCTCCTCCCCACCTTCCGCAAACCCCTCCTCTCCCCTGCTACTGAAACCCAGTTTGAGAAGGTCTTTCTCGAGTCCTGATTCTGCCTCCTTGCTTGCATTACCCTCAGACACACGCACACCACCCACAATTCCCCACACTCTTAGCAACCGCTCTGCCATCTCCCCCTCCCCTCCCTCCTCCCCCTCCCCCCTCTGTGGCCGCCTTTCCCTTCCTAGACGCCCGTCTTTCCCCTCGGCCAACCCACGCTCTCCATTTTCCCCTCCACCTTCTCCTCCATCCGTTTCCTGATCAGAATTAACTCCATTTTCATCCGAACTCGACTGATTCTCAGCGCCATCTGCCTGCCATCTTGCCGCCTCTTCAGAAGCCAGCACCTGCCTGTGTCTGTCCAGTAGCTGCTGCAGCCTCGCCACGTGTTGGCTCAGGACACGTGGCACTTCCTGGGACTCTCCCGTCGCATCTGCAGCCACATGAGCAGGATCAGCAACAGAACCAGCAGCAGAAGCAGTATCGCTACTGGTCACATTACCTGTGCCACCAGCACTACCAGCACCAGACCTCGTGCTGTTACCTCTCCAACCCTCTCCAGCCCTATCCTTCTCCTCCTGCTCCAACCGCTCGGCTTCTGTCAGGCTGACCGCACGCTGCAGCGCAATTAAAGAAGTCTCTAAATCAGCAAGGAAGGCGCGGTGGGATGCTGTCGCCGTGGCGCAGTGGAGCAGCTTGGTAGATAAGCAAGCCTGGAATGAAAGGGATGGGTGTGATCAAGGGAGAACAGACGAGGAACAAGGAGAACATGGAGTGGAGGGTGGGTGTGAACGAGCGAGAAAGAGGTGAAACAGGGAGACCGTACTGTCTATCAAGAGACCAAAGGCCTGCATGAATTCATCAGAAGCAGCATAGGTCATTCAGATGCTGCACGCATCCCTGCCTCATATGCCAGAGACACAATGACAGTTCTTAATAGCTTAGCAACCTGCCTGCTGCTTGGCCGGGTCTTTAAAGCTGCATGCCGAATTGCTTGTCGAGAACATAAGCGACGCGCCGATCGCGCTGACATCCCCGAACGGATTAAATCTCGACCGTAGAAACACCTCCGAGACGAGGCACAGGAAGACCACAGCTATCAGGAGCACCGCCGTTGCCGAAAAGCGAATGCTGGACCGTCCTTCCGATTGTAGCAGCTTCGTTTCAAGACACAGGAGGTCGACCTTGCGGGGAATCTCCCTCTCTTTGCTGGCCGATCCGGGAACTGATCCGCCGAAAGCGGAAGCTTCCTGGGAAACAGCATGGCCATGATCCGACGGCTGCTGCGTGCGTCTTAAAGGCCTCATTCCGCCTGGAATTTTGGCGACTTAAGCGCTGCGTTGGCGTGGGAGTGGCTAGGGGCGAGTAGAGAATGCTGATGATTGGTAACAGGAGGAGCTGCTGTTTCAGGTTGATCTGAAACCAATGCAGCAGGTCGACGTGGAGTAGAATCCGTACAGATACAATGTCGAGAGGAGGAATGTGCGCTGCGAGCGGCCAGTGGTGGGGCGACGCGGTGTGCTATTAAAGATGATGCGATTAGTTAATGATGGGATTATTTACAGGGAACGTGAGACTCGGGTGGCGATATCGGAACGCAATGCGACATATTGGATCCGAACAGGAAGCCTTATTCTAAATTAACGGAGAAACTAGGGGATTTGATACCGAAGAGAAAAAACGCTGCGATTGGCGGGTGTCTGACGCATGTTAGACAATGCCACGGGTATCGTAGCGGTCTGAAGGATCACAGAGAAGCTAATAACGAGTATATCAGAGGGGCTCGCACCGCATTCAGAGTGCATAACGCTCGGACCAAGGAGTGGTATCGCAACGAGCCGGACTGAGTCAGCAGCATTACCGGGCTCCGTGAGGGAATGGATTATTCGTTGTCACCGCAAGACGACATGCACCTACACAGGTTCACGTTCATATGCTTGACTGAAGGAACTCCACGCGCAACCCAGTGAGATGGAACGAACTTCCAGATAGAGGTTCACGTAAACTTTATTAGTGCGTGGAATTCAAGTCTTGGGATCTGCACGGCTGTGTGTGTGGAACGCAAGTCTTGGGAATTTCACGGCAGACCCATGGATGTTGTCAGATCACAACTGGCGAAAATGCAACGACCCTGGCGACACTTTCGAGACCATCCCAGGGCTTGTACACGATTCTGTCCAGATTTGCGTGTCATTTTACTTCTGTGAAGCCTGCATTGCAGAACTACTTTGGGCCAACATCATAGACATGCAAATTAGTCTGGTAACCCTATCCAATGGTATGCAAAACCGTCGATACCCTAGTTCTGCTGCGCAAGTTTGTCTGGTAGCGCCACTCAAAACACTGTGTAACAGCTGACGCAGCACAAAAAAGGAAGAAATATGAGATATAATCAGTTTTGTTTTCAATTTCGTATCTTCGTGGTTCTTACCGCGCCCCGTTAGGCGCCTAACAAATATTCCTCCGGGCTACTATTTTCCGCTAAATGTGCACGATACATTTACGATTTTTTTTTTTTTTTTTTGGGCTTTAAGGAGATCCCCGGAGGAAACCAACCCCCCGTAGGGAGAAGGCGCTTCGGTAAGCAGCATTATACCGGCTGTGCGTTTAGTCGCCAAAACCCCCATCGATCACCATAAGCGCGTGCCCCGTTTCGGGGACAGCCGTACCCGGATGGGCGTTGGCTTCAGATACATTTACGAAAAATCCATTGGAATAAAAATATACGGGGTCCATTTTGTAACAATTTATTGCACCCATTATATTGCTACCGAGAAGTGTTAGGGCAGGGCTGAAAAACAATAAAACCCCTAGGGACCTGGACGCATTTCCGGGAGGGATCAACCCTAAACACGGGAAAGGACATTGTTTTTAGGGTTAATGCCTCCCTGACGCATCCCGTTCCGATTGGGGTTTATTTTTTTCTTGGCCCGAAGAAATCACGTTATAGTGCGAAGGCAAGCGCGGTAAGGATCAGTCTTCGAATTAAAAACAAACGCGTTACTAGGTCAGCATGTCAATACCTCCAAAACTGAGGTTAGACGGTTTTGCATACCATTGGATAGGGTTACCATACTAATTTGCATGTCTATGATGTTGGCCCAACTACTTTTCCCAGCCAGTCCCAAGGGTCCATACATGCTTGTGAAATTGATCGCGCAGATGAACCAACAAAACGAGCTGACGATGGATCCCCTCTCGCTGAATGCGCACGACGAAACAGCAAGCGTCCGAATGCGGAGGTGGCTAAAACACTCGCAAAGTTACATTACTTCATCAATACTTTCCGTGTATGCGCCTCGACTCACTGACACACTGGAGCGACACAGTCGACATGCCAAAGAAAACAGGGATGCATCTGACAGCTTCTGTTGGCATCGTGAGCGAACTCCGCGACACTCACGAGCAAACCTTCATGGTCGCGATTTCACGTCCTCAGCACAGCATAAGAATAATGACACTAAGAGGCAAAAAGGGACTTTATATGATTGGATAAATCAGCAAAAAGAATATCAGAACGCAAGGAGGAGCGTACCACAAGTCCAATCAACACACAACACTACCTAACAATAACAACCCTTACTCCGTTTCTTAGGTCCACATGAAACCCATCACCCTACGCGCAAACCACAACACAGTGAACCTCTCATTTATGTACACCTCAATTTATTCCACCATCCCATGCCTAGGCTGATTCACCACTCTGTTCGGTCATCTTCTGCTTCCTCTGCTTCTTCACCTTCTTAACCTTCTTAACCTTCTTAACCTTCTTAACCTTCTTAACTTTCAAGGTCTTCTCCTTCTGCCTTTTCTGCTTGATCGCCTTGCTCCTTTTGCCCTTCCTTTCTCTCCTCAACAAAACTTTCCCTCCCGCTGGCTCCTCCCAACCCTGATTCGATCCCGGCTCCCCAACCTCCCCTGGCCTCTCCCCTTCCCCAACACCTTCTAACTCCACCCTTCCACCAGCACCACCACCACCCTCAGCTGCTGCAGCAGCAGCTGCTTCAACAGTTGCTTCTGCCGCCTCGCCTCCCAAACTGCTCCCATAACTCTTCAGTGTGCCACCCTCTTGCTCCAGGTTCAACCCCTTCTGCCCTTCCCCCTCACGACTCACTATCTCTTGCTGCAGCAGCTGCTGCTGCGGCTGTGGCTGTGATGGTCTTTGCTGCAACTGCTGCCACTGCCCCTCTCCCTCTCTCCCTTCCCCACCCTTGGGATCCAACTGACGATGAACCCGCTGCTCCCCTCCTTGCGTGTCTTGCCCTCGTACCACAGGAGTTTCCGATGGTAGTGCACTCAGCCTCTCTGCTGCCTTCTGTTCCAGCCTGACAGTTTGACCCACTTCTGAATCGGTCTCTGCTGTTCCATCTTTCTCCTCCCCATCGCTCCCTTGTCCTTCCACTTGCTTCCCCTCTCGTTGCTCCTTTCCAATACCCTGCTGCTGCGTCGTCGACAGCTGTTGCCCCTGCTCCCGCTGCTCCTGCTGCTCCTGCTTCTGCTGCTTGGCGCGCTTTGCTTTCTCCCCACTGCCCGCTCCTCCTCCTTCCGCCTCCGCCTCTCCTTGCGCATCTGCTCCCGTTTCGCCCCCTTCGCCCGCGTCTGATCCGCCAGTTCCCTCCTGAGCATCAGAGTCATCAGCCACGGCTTCGTCGCCTCTCCCTGCTGCTACAGCTGCGCCGGCCGCACCCTTCGGAACCAATATCTGACCAACAGAGCGCGGAGGGGCGGAGGGACGGAGGGACAGAGCGATGGAGAGATGAAGGGACGGAGAGAGGAGAGAGGGGAAGAGAAGAGGGAGGTGAAGTGGGGCAGGAGGGAGAGAATGTAAGGGACGCGGAAGGGATGAATGCGGAAGAGAGAGAGGGCGCTGCCGCGACAGAAATACTCGTTCATTGAGATTGTTCTTTGAAGGGAGGGAGTGAATGCGCCTAGACCGTTCGGAATCCGTTGTCCCTTCCCTTGTACTACATACCACTTTATTCCCTATGGTTCGAACGTCGTAGAACTTGCCCGAGAGCCGTGCGATTTCCTCCACAGCCTTATCGTGAACCGTTGGATCGCGCGCCACCAGCTCGTCGTACGCCGCATCAAACACGTCCCTCCAAAACTGCTTAAATCGCGGATGGAGTTTGGAAGAAGGTTGTATAGGAAGAGGAAACGGAGGGGAAAGGGGGGGGGGGGGGGGGGAGAGGGGAGAGGAGGGAAAAAAAGAGGGGGAGAGGGAGGGAGGGGGGGGAGGGGAGGGGGGGAGGGGGAAGAGGACGATGGGGGAGGGGAGGTTGGAGAAAAGAGGAGGAAAGAAGAGTAAATGAAGGGGTACTGGATATGTGGGGACTGGGATACAGGTAGACCGCTAAAGAATCAGCATCTGAGCGATCTCGCTTCTCGTCTAGCCTGACACAGCGATACGACCATCACGCGATCGCCCACTTGCGTGGCGCCGACTAGCGCGACTCGACGTACCTCGTCGATGAGGCGATACGGGGCCTCTTGGAAGTACTCCCACTCGTCCTCCACCAGCTTGACGCGCTGACGCAGCTCCTGCTGACGTGTCGCGCGCACGACGAGCCACGGGGAGGGAAACGGCGGGGAAGGAGACGTTTTGAATTGTGAGCGGAGCGCGAAAAGTGGGCGAGACAAGGGGAGGGGGAATGGGAGAGGAGGTCCGGAGGTGAAAGAGAAGGGGAATAATATTATAACACCAAGAGAGTGGGGGAGGGCGGAGACAGGACGAGAAGGATGGGAAGAGCGGGGCGGGCGGTGGGGGGAAAGGGGTGCGGGACGCAGCAACTGGTTGCACGGTGGAAATATATGGGGGGAGGAGAGAGGTGAGGTGGAAGAGAGTGAAGGTGGAAGAAAAAACCAGGAGAGATTGTGCGAAAGTCGACCGAGAGGAATTGTTATCTTTACGCTACCCTCCGTCCCTCCGACCCTCCGACCCTCTGTCTCACTGTCTCACTGTCTCACTGTCTCACTGTCTCACCTTCTCATCCATGTCGCCTCCTACGAGCAGATCTTCCGACGCCGACAAATCCAGCGCCGCCATCATCGCCGCCATTTCCGCGTCGCGCCCTCTCACCAGCGCGCGCGTCACTTTCCCAACCGCGCCGCCTCCTCCCGCGCTCACCCTCCCCCAAACGCCGCGCCCCCCGCCGCGCCCGCCGTTGCGTTTCCCCCCGCCGCCGATCTCGCCGCCGCCCCCTGTTCCCCCGAGTAACCAGCTTCCCCCGCCGAGCCCCACACCCTTGACGAACAGTAACTTGGCGGGGTCGCTTCGGCCGCCGCTGCCATACTCGCTGTTTCCGGCTGCGTCGTCTCCGCCGGAACCTGCGGCGGCGGCTGCGGCGATTATATCGACGGCGGAAAGATCGATTGCGCGCGTGGACAGGAGGAACGAGGCCGTGAGCAGCAACGCAGAGAAGACCAAAATCAGCTGCAATTGCGATAAACTGGACACACCCCAGAGCAGTGCTTTCGATTTTGACTCCCCGCCGCCACGCCCGCACTCCCCGCAGCCGTGACACGCGCTTTTAAGCTTTAACCCGGGAGGGCATTGCGCGGGGTGTAGCGCCAGTCTCATTCCCGGAGACGTCGACACGCGCGCGCACTTTTGCGGGGGCGGCGCCAAGTCGTGCTCCTCCGCGCACGCCGTTCCGCCGACTCCCATCGTACCCTGGCGCCCCCAGCGCGAGGCCGCGGAAGCCTCGGGTCCTCTAACCGGCGTTCGGATAACGGCGTTAGGGAGCGGGAGGAGCGCGTTAGGAGGCGTGGTAGGAGAGGTGCCCGGAGATGAGTGCGACGACGAGTGAGGAGATGAGCGAGGAGGCGAGGTGTGAGGAGCCGAGTGAGGCGACGCGGCACGCGCACCGGCGGGAGCGGCACCAGATGTCGTTCGTCGTTCGAAAGGCTTAGCAGCGGGGGACGCGCTACCGGTAGCTTCAGAGTTCCTGGGGGGGTTCGCGGCAGCGGTGGAAGCCGGCCAGGGGAACGGCGGAGGGTGTGGCGCACGCGAGGGGCGCGGAAGCGGATGCGCGGAAGAAGGCGGAGATGGTGACGCTGCCGGGCTGGAGCTGCGCGGGAGCTGGTGGCGGGGAAGCAGTTTAGCGGGTGAATCAGAATTAACTAATGTGCATGTTCCGGCGGCTGTCACGCCTGAAATGCTGCTTCCATTGCTGCTTACGACCGTTCCCCGGGCCGGTGTAGCGGTTTCGCTGAGTCTGCGATCGCTGGACGAAGACTGGTTACCAGCCACGTTTTCGCGATGATCATCTGGGTGCTCTTGCGACGGCTCGCGCGTGCTGGTCTGAACCTGGGCCGGGCGATAAGCTCGACTGTTGATTGTCGACCGTTCAGTGGGTGAGTTGGATGATGCTCTGTGGTGCACTGAGGAAGGATGAACCACTGCCATCCACTGCAAATTCGCACGTTGATCGCAGAATACCTACGACCCTCTCGCTCGTCCAGGAACACTGCGAGAGAATATACTGAACCTATTTAAAACCAGGACCTTAAGTACCCAGTACGTTGAATGGGAGAACGGTCAGAAGGGAACTTAACTAGCCTATATGCTGAGACTTCAGAACTTGGGAGGGACCTTCACCAGCCTGTATGTAGTCTTTGTTAGATACGTCCAGGAGAACGGGACGGGTGAGAGCCTGAAACTGATACTATTATTTCTTTGAGGAAGATAATCGGGACGGCTTCAACAGGGAACACGACAGGGCTTTCGGACAATCGTAAAAGAAAGGGATTAGAGAAAACACCTAAAGAGGAAAGAGCCTGCGACAGCGGACGCCCCCTGCTATTACAAACGGTTTTCTAAGATATAGAAACATCTTTCGTTGACAAAGTCCGAGGAGCTAAGGAGGCGACCATATTAGGTTGGTGTGGTAAGCTAAAATTTGATGGAAGAAGCTGGAGTACCAACGAAGTTCCACAAACCAAGCAGGTGGATCATGCAACATCTGGGTAGTCTAGATGGCACCACCCTTGACGGAGCCCTGCCCTGGCTTCCCCCTTGGGAAACGCGTGGAGGACTAGGGACTGGAGTGTGAGGAACAGATGTCGGCCATACTAGCGGGGAACACGGACGGGAAGCCGGGTGGGTAACTCAAGGTATGAAGCTCGTCGTGCTTTTAGGCTTGTCGACTGAGGCAAACCAAGGGCTCGAAGGGAACCTCACCATACGGTTCGGTGGTGCTTTGGGGGTGAAAGGGGGAATCTCGAAGACGCACGGATGCCTGGTTTGGCTTTTGCTGAACTAGGCTTGGAATTGCAGGGCGAGCCCCAGTTTGGTTTGGATAGATTACAGGGCCTGAGGAGACAACAACCAAGGGTAACTGTAGTCTAACCGCTGACGAATCACGAAACGAGATAGTAGGTGAGGTGATGTGACGGCGTTGCCCCATACCTGCTGGTGCTGGTGCTCGCCGAACCAGAAATTGCAAGTATGGTCCCGAAAACGTCGTCGATTGGGCAAGCCGTCATCGTCAAGACGTACGGGACGGACGGAGCGCGAGCTCGCACATGCCCTCGGCACCTCCTTGTGTCAACGACTACTGTTGCTCGCGACTTGTGATCAACACAGCAATTCGTCAAACGGGGGCGCTTGCGGAAGATACGTGGGCCCATGACGACACAGACGAGTTTCGCATAGTCGTCACAAGCGAAACGGCGACCAATGGCGGTCTGCTTACTGTGGGGAAACCACAGGTGAACAGTTATAAGCAAGGGCCGTCGCCGAGCCGGAGCAATAACGAGGGTTCGTGCTTGCGAATTTGACGTCCTGCTCTTGTATTTGGCTTCTTGACGTCCCCCAGTACGTACACCTCGAAGCGTGACCTTATCAAGGAGCGTAGGCTAGGGAGAGCGCCTTGGGCACGTCAAATTGCAATTGGAGGTTCGGCAAGTTACCAACATTGAGGCGGCGGCAGTTTTGCTGCCTCCACGTCCGCTTTTAAACACTGCTCTGCAACCAGTAGAGTAGGGAGCCAGATTTTATAGAATCTTCCATTTCTTACAGCCCGCAGTCCAAATTGATTAACACTACAAAAGTTGATGTGGGGTTTTGCATGCGGTTCATTGTAATGAGAGGTTTGATTCTTCAGGCCACTGCGTCATATCGTATTTATATCAAGTCCTTCCTTTCCCCATGTGGGTAGGTTTTATATCAGAGTACCTCACGTCGTCTTCAAACGTCCTCGCCTAGCTAGGGACCCTCGCTATTTCTTGATAGTAGTTAAATTTTTAAATGACTTGGTCAGGCTGAACAAAGGCGCATGCACTTATAAACAAACGGCTTAAGTTGACCTTGCACTTATAATCGGCAACAACCTTTAGGTGCACGAGACAGGATATACGCGCGTGCGCTAATTAGACGGGTGTGCTTCTACCCAGTAGGACATGAGGGAATGACGGACCGCCCTGGTTTCGGGTTTCCGATTCCTTTCGGCAGTGGTTTTGACACCGCCTCGCTTCGCGCTCGCGTCCGATACCTTCGGTCGGTTATTTACGCTGTTGCCCCTTTCCGAGTCCAGAGACTAATATTGTGTTTTATTTATTGGGATATCATAAATTGAATTGTCGCGTCAATTACGAGAAGCTCGGGACAACAAATATATACCCCTCATGGAAGGCATGCCATTTGGGAGGCATCAACCCTAAACACCATGAGGCAAGGTGTTTAGGGTTGATGCCTCCCAATTGGCCAGCCATCCGAGAAGGGTTTATTTTTTCCACTGGCCACTAAACTAAAACCAGGTAAATTTCAGAATTTCCCTGGTCACAGGAAATTGGAAATGTCGAAATCAGCTGCCCCAAGGAATCGGACGCGAGCGGAGAAGCGAGGCGGTGTCAAAGCCACTGCCCAAAGGAATTAGAACTTGAAAACAGGGTGATCCGTCATTTCCTCGGCTGCAAAAACAAATTGATGTAGAGAGCTTGTCTTCTCTTGGCAACTGTTTCTGATGAGCTGTAAACACAGTATACGGTACTACACTTGACCAGGCCTTATTGCATGAGATAAGGTAAGGGTACATTCCGCTCAGGACATGTCCCTTAAAGCCTGCAGCCCAGGTTGTTCAACCTTACTAAGGTTGACCATTGGGTGGTGGGGGAGGTGGAGAAAGAATAGTCGAGGTGTTGGGGGGATGGGTGTAGTTGGTTTCGCCCAGACTTTCGCCACGCTTTGTTTTTCTTGCTGACTCAGCAAACACCAGGGGCCAGCTCGTGTTCAGTTGCGAGAGTCCCATGTTGCACAGGTAATAATATTGAAAGTTTCCCCCTGCTCACGTTTCGCGAACTCAGTGCAAGTGCGCTGGCCAATCATATTTCTTCTCACAATCCGTAACCCTAATTCGTGCAAGAATGAAACCCAAAGCAACCCTCGATAAAGAATAGTAAGGTTGACCAGCGCGATCCGCAACTTGGGCCGCGGGCTTTAAGAAAGTGTCCCAATCGATTGTGACGCGTACTTACAGCATATGCTGCCATGTGTTGGAATTCCGGACCGCGCAGCAAAGTCGCAAAACGTTATTTCGATTGGCTGGCGTGAACCACGGAACTGTCGCGGGCTAATTGAACGCCAGCGCGACAAGGACCTGCCATTGCACGCGGTTTTAAATGTCTATCCCCTCTGCATGTACCTGGTCATGATTTTACTGTTCGTATCTCCCACCCCGCCGTGACCCAATACACTTTCCCCAACCTGTGGGGCTTGCTGTGTTGGTGCGGCTGATCGTCACAATGAGTGGTCCACTCACGCGAAGGGCCAATCACAGCCCTTCTCATATAATTGTCGCGTGGTCGTGCAGGGTCGCAGTACATCGATCCTTTGTGACATCAGGTTCAGAGACATTTGAGCGCGACTCGGCCAAAATGTGTTTGCGGCACCTTCTTAAAGCTGAAGTTGTTAGATGTGGTAGTCTTAATGAGGTGTGTTATAGGGGGTACAATTGTTAGGGTTAGGTTTATGTACCCCAACCAACCTTAGTCAAACCAACACTTTCATTCTTGACATGGTATCACCTAGGTTAGGATCCTGTGGGATCCCGTTCCTCTCGTTCACGTCCGTAGCGCCCGAGCATGTCCCGTACCCTAGTGCCGGTTACGCCCGTACGGTCCCCTAGCGCCTATCGTGCTCGTCTCTCTCGTGCCCTAGCGCCCGCTGCGCTTGCCGTCGCGTCGCCCCTGCTGTCCCGTCCCGTCCCGTCGCCCCTGCTGTCCCGTCCCGTCCTGTCGCCCCTGCTGTCCCGTCCCGTCCCGTCGCCCCTGCTGTCCCGTCGCGTCGCCCCTGCCCCGTCGCGTCGCCCCTGCTGTCCCGTCCCGTCCCGTCGCCCCTGCTGTCCCGTCGCGTCGCCCCCTGCTGTCCCGTCGCGTCGCGCCTGTTCCTGCTGTCCCTGTTGTAAAGGGCTCTCCTCTACTTTGCAGGAACTGGGATTTGTTCTAATCAGTAGAGCACTCTGTTGGCTTTCCAACGAGCCGTAGAACACGTCGATCGCGTAAGTATCTGCCGAGATATAGGCGTTCACGTGAAGGCTATGCTCTATGTTTGAGGGATTGGAAACTCTCTGGAATTTGTGTCGACTTGCACTGTGTACAAAGTGATCCTCGATTTCAGTATGTCACATGCAAACAAAGCAAACATGTTTATAGCTACTCAACACATCG